GAAAAAGAGAGCTGAAAGCCAAAGCCTGCAGCACACTTGTGAGCCCACGGCACAGCTTGAGAGTGGTGGCGAGTTTCCTGCAGAGAGACAACCTGAACCTTTTGCTCGAGAGCACACTCGAGCACAGTGCAAAGGCGAGCCTTAGTCAAGCAAGTCACGTTCACAGAGAGGATGTGCAGACTCTGATTTCCCCCAGACAGAGGGTCTGGATGAGGGGTCTTAAAGGGTTGAGAAGGGGAAGACCCTAGTCAAAGCTTAGAAGAACTACTAGCAGTACTGTGACTTCGCTTCTTCGTGCGTTGGTACCACTCAGCCATGTAAGCTTTGCCCTTTGGCCCTGAGTGCCACTTGGACATAGCCTTGAAGCGACTATCTTCTCGCTTTTTGGCTTCAGTACGGCCGAGGGCGGCGTTTTGCCACTTTCGGACAGTAATGTGGCTAGGCCTGTTACTGCAAGGGTTGCGCTTGAAGTCGGCGAGAGGTCGCGTAGAGCCGCACTTACTGCACGGGAAACGGCGTCCGTTGTAGTAAGAGGTGCCAAGCTCAAAAGTAGGGGTGCAAAGGGCTGGCACAAGAGCGGGATGCTTAGAAGAAAAGCGAGACATCCACTCCGCATGAGCCTTCTCGGACTTCGCTTTAGTGGCGGCAGCAGCGGACTTGAGCCACTTGCTTCTCTGTTTCTTCCGAACCAGCTTAGTGCGCATGGGAGGAGCCTTGCCTTGGCAACGCATCCAGTGTGAAAGGGCTTTGGCGCGTTGCTTGTTAGGAGCAGCAACAGGAGGAGTCCACCCACACTTACAACGAAGGTGAGAGCCAGGAGCGGGGTCTTGCTGGCGCTTTTTTGGCTTGGTGGCACTGCAAGGTGGCGTCTTTGTGGTAACAGCATCAATCTTTCGGGGCGTAACGGCCGTTAACCCCATCAAGGAAAGCGCAGAAGTGGAGGCGGCTGGGGAATTAGGAACCCGAACCCTACTCCTACAACTAAAGGCAGAGGCAGGTGAAATGCCTAGCACGGACATGGCAGTGGGAGAGCGTCTGGGTGTGTCAAGTGCAGCAACAGACTGCCGGTCGCTTTCACTTAAACCTAACGTTTGCAAAGCAGCCTGATCGGAGACTTGCCTGCTTTTCGGCCCGGCACCTTTAAGCGAGGCAGGAGTAAAGCAAGCGGACTTCAGCCACTCGTCAACTTTTGCAGGCGTGACCTTAGTCGGCTTGAGGAACTCGTAGTGCTCGTCACACAACTTTAGCCAAACAACTTGGGCTTGCTTCTTTTTCTGCGTTTTAGGGCCAACAATGTAAAAGTTCCACTTGGACTCTTTCTTACTCCAGCCCCAGATCCGAAATTCGGCGTTGGTGGTTTCGGCCAGGGCATGAAGGCTGACACTGTCTACCCAAAACCCTGCTTGGAGAACAAGCTCAGACAAAACCTTAGTGTCCTCAGGAGTGTATTTTCCAGAAGGAGCCTTGGCGAGCTCTTTTGAGCACAGCAGCCGGAGCTGTGCTTGCATTCGGCCTTTAGGCTCAAAGTCCTTAGGGGGTGCAGTGCTTAACTTGCCATTGTTGTAGGCGAACCCTTGGGCAATAGCAATAGGTGTCGTACCTGGTAAAGTACATTAGCTGTAGCTGCAACGACCTAGTGGGGGTTGGAAGCAGCCTATCAGACCCAGAACTGCGCCCAAGCAAATGCGTTGCATGGAAATGAAGTGCATCACAGTGCGTGCCAGAAAGAAAAGGTATCCCTGAGTGCGTGACATCATCATCGGAAGAGTCGAACTGCTGAAAAGAACCCTATAATCCTATAAACCCAAAACCAAAGCAGCCAAAAGGAAGAACAAGATAGAAGAACAGCAAAACAAGAAAAGCAAAGCACCCCCACCGAAGTGCGGGAAAAACCGCGCAGCACGCCAGCAAATGCCTAGAGGAGGGCCAACGAAGCGAAGGGAGCACAGCAAGGCCATCGAGGACCACGGGAGAAGGCCGCGTAGATGCGCCCGCGCGAAGAACGGGAGGCGGAGCAAACACTGCCGATCAATCATGCACCGGGATCCTGTGCAAGAGAGATGGCGATGCCAAGCTTGGCGCACACGATCACGTGTGATGGAGTCCGAGCCGCATGTCATGGTGACCCGAACTGGGTTGTGCACACCACACCATCCACACGGGCACGGGATGGAATAAGCAGCGCGGAGCTGCGCACCCATCAAACCTGCTGCACTCCAAAAACCAGTGACGTGCATCGACGCCGCAGTGGGGGCATGAAGTAGCATTGTCATACACCTCAGGCCTGTTGCGGCGACTGGGCGTGTTGATAGCAACGGATTTGAAGATGACGCAAGCAGTGCTCTGCCTAGAGTTACAGAACCCGCGGCAATTGGCGTGACTGCAGGCTTTAAGGCCAGCATGTTCTATGCCTCCGCTGTCCTCGCGTGTCTGAAGTAGAAGGAACTTTATTGGAACGAAGTCCAGAGGATGTGATCTGGAGCTTAAGAATACTAACATGCTTTTTGAACAATGAACCAAACATCGAGATGGGGACTAGGGGAACCAAGGCTGCAGCATTGCACAGGCGCCGCATAGCAACGGCAAAGCCAAGGGTGCAAATCGATGTGCCTTCACCAGAAGCGGCTTTTGCACCACCACCATGTGGCTCTAGCATTAGTGACGGCCTGGAAAACCCGAAGGATGTCTTCAGAGCTGCCAGGCGGCAGGACCGAAAACAGGGCTTGTGAAGCCAGTGGCCAAACGGCACCGCGTGGGAATACCACCGGGGCAATGGCCCAGACCAGCAATGGCATCCCCCGCCTTGTCCGGATCACGCATCGGGGTAAGCTGGTCCGGGCGACCAGGGTCGGCGGAGGCCGAAGTGCTCGAGTGGAAAACCTTGCGGGTCGCTATGGGACCACGTTTGAGCTTTGTCTCTGCCCTCTTCGAACCTTAAAGCCGAAGCGAACTGTCGAGTATCCTCGAGGCTTCTGTTCAGGCCTCCAGAGCCCTCCTGATGGCCACAGTGGTCCTGTCGTGCTCGGAGGCACAGACAACAACACGGTTGGCATCAAATTTGTGCTTCTCGACCAGTGGCTTTGCAAAGGGGCACTTTCCAAGCAGGCCCAAACAAAGCAGGGGTGGCCGAGGCCTTTGGCTGCAAGCCTTTGTCATTTGTCAGCACCGACAACAATCCCTGCCCAAGAGGGGGATGAACGCTTTCGTTGCGATTGCCGGTCTCGGGCTTGTCTTGGACGGCCTGGAATGAGCGCAGGCGCAGTGCTTGAGTTCTGTTGGTTTCCAGCCAGCACGGGAAAGCAGGGTGGAGGTGGCTCAGGTCCCTCCAACTTCCAAGACTTAAGCAAATCAAACAAACGGAAAGGAGCTGGCCCCTTGGGGCCACCAGGTGGCCGACTGGAAGCCGAGCTTTGCTTGTTTTAGTCTTTTTGCGTTTGGCGCCAATGCCCTCGGCAGGTTTTCCGAGGCGTGAACTTGTTGTGAAAGGGACGAAGCTGCAACAGTTAACTGGGCAATCTGTTCGTTGTCCCTTCGTTTGCGGGCAGTGGCGGCTGGACCACCTGACCCCCCTCCGCCTCTCATAGGGTCAGGAGAGCGGAAGCCCTGCCACGAAGCTCAAAGCAACGCCAAAGGCAGCAAGAAGCAATTTGCAGCCAAAGTCTCCAATGAAATCTCCATAAAGCACTGTCACCACCTGGGACCTCGAGCGGAAGCAATGTTGCCTTGCGCTGGGTAATCGTTGCTTTCCAGCAATGCGAGCTGGATAGGCATAACAACTGCATGGCGCGAGCAAGGGACCATGCAAAAACACCCAACAAACCTCGAAACAAAATACTTGCTTCACCTGGCGGACTCGGCACAAGTGCCCAACCTCTCGGAGGACTCTGCAAATCAGAAGCCTGATCAATCACATGCCGAGCACCAGCATCCCAAAAACACAAACCATGTGTCCCGACTCCAAAGAGGTGGGAAGCTCTCGGCCAGTCAAATGGCGCCAACTTGATTGGTCGCGTGGAGCGAGCTCCACGCAGCAGGGGTTAAGGCTCAAGAGTGTAATGGAAAAGACGGCGAGCCGCCGTGCGAGTGCAAGCAACAGGCGAAACATCGCCTGCCTTAGGCACGGATTGCCCAAAAAGAACTTACGTAAGTCGACGGGACCCCTAATCCCAAGCAGAGCCCTCAAGGAATCAAGGGTGGAATCGAGACAGACACGTGGAGATGCATGCAGCCTTGAGCTCCCGGTGGAGTGCAAGAGTGGGAATAGGGAATGACTAAACCAAAGCCTATTCGGGATAAAAGGATAAAAGGTTGCTGTCACCACATCCAGGCAGGCAAACCAGAAGGGACTAAACCAAAACGTACAGGGTGAAGGTGAGCGCGGCAGCCTAAACCATAAACAAGGACCTAAGCCCAAGCCTAATTACTCCGAGGCAGCGTCGTACCTGGAATTATTCAGTGGTACCTGCAACAACCTATCTCTCCCCTAACCCGGGTTGGAAGCAAAGATAGCAGGCCCGGAAAGGGGTTTCCAATCAAGGGTAAAGAGGACAAGAAATCAGCTGCATGACAATGCAGTCAACAACCCCAAACCCTAAACCCTCAACCTTAAACCCTAAGACACCACGCCCTAAATCGAATAGCCTGACTGTGTCCTCTCAAGTGCCCTTTACTAGAGCCTATCATTTTGGGTTTAGGGTTTCGGGTTTAGGGTTAGGGTATTGATAGAGGCATCTGGGGTAGAATAGAGGGTAGTTGGGGGCCCGTCTAGGGAGCTGCCCAAGGTGAGCCTGCAGACAATGCACTACAACATCGCTCCACAAGATAGGGTTTAGGGTTTCTGGCTTGGGATTTACGGCTTAAGGTTCTGGATGTAGGGTCTAAGGATTTAAGGCGTAGCGTCTAGGAACAGGTCACTTCATCATGTAGGCCAGGTAGTCCGCATCGTAGCTGGCGTTGATGAGCTTCAGGTCAGTCTCAGGGTCCTTCGCACAGCGGAGAGAAACCCTAAACCCTACACCCTAATATTGGGCTTAGGGTGTCAGGTTTCGGGATTGGGGCTTCGGCTTTAGCGTGTACGTAGGGACTTTGAGGTGTGTTTTTGCGTCACCTTCTCTGTTAGGAGATCCGCAGAAAACCGATGGGGTTTAAGGTTCAGGGGGTTAAGGTTTAAGGGTCTGACGGTTTAAGTTGTAGGGTTTTGGGTTTGGGGATTGTTGAGGGATCTCAGGACTTTGCGTGTCCTCGAGGTATTCATGCAGTAGCGGTAATGTCTCTGCCCTGTCAAAAGGCCTGTTAGAGGGTACGAGGGCCATAAAGGAAGAGGGGTTCCTTCAATCCGTGTCTAATTCATCTAGAAACCGCCAACAACCAAACAAACTACAAAAAACGAATAGTAGTAGTAGTCGTCGTCGTAGTAGTAGTACTAATATTATTGATATATAAACAGTAAAGTCATAGTCAGCAGGTACAGAACTCTGAACCCCCGAAATCTCGCAATCTCAGCACTGAGGCACAATCCTTTCATAACTTCAACCGAGCGTTCCAAACACGACCAAAACTACCACAACCTATTTTTTGTAGGCCCGAATTATACACCCGAAGGAGTCTGGATTTCGTAGGGACTTTGCCTACCAAGTAAATTTATGTAGTTCCAGGTATCAGAAGGCTTCCGAATGAAACGTGGGCCCTCAGTTTGGAGTTTGGGGTCAAAGAGCATTTAAAACACGACGCCCAAAGCCTCGTAGTCATAGTCCCTTCTACAATCCTTAATTTCTGATGCTCTGATTCATAGACACCTTTTTGGAGCTTATGGAGCCCTTACAGACCTTACGGAAACCGTTCCCTAAACCCTAAACCCTAACCCTAAACCTTGTAGAGCTCGAACCTCCAACGGAACCTCCTAAACCCTAAACCCTAAACCCTGAACCCTGAACCCTGAACCCTGAACCCTGAACCCTAAACCCTAAACCCTCAATCCTAAACCCTAAATACTAAACCCTGAACCCTAAACCCTGCAGGCCTTCATGGCGATGCGCGCCACCTGGCGTCCGATGCGGCCGAAGCCGTTGATGCCCACGCCCACGGCCTGCCTGGGCTTAGTTTCGGGCTTGTTTGTGGCTCCGACTGCCTGGTAAGGGCTCTACAGTTATATTTTTCTCACCTGCAAGAAACTACTCCGATGTGTTGTTTGAGCTGGGGCCATAGGGTGCAGTTTGTGTACGGTCTTACAAGGCGTCGGGTCAGCCTCAGTTGTCAAGTATATGTTGGATACTGCCTTTAGAATATATATATATATATATATATATATATATTATGTACTAACTATTATTTTTAGGTTACAATATAGACTAATCGGTTTTTAGTCTATTCTAGTATAAACTCTGTTATAAATATATAAATATAAATATATATATATATATATGCATTAATATTTTGTGATATTTGTATAGTACAGCATTGTATAGTATAGTACTGTATTTTATTCCATTGTGTTTTATTATTTTATATTATAATATATCACATTGTAATTTATTATTTCATCATGTTATAATGCATTATGCCATGCTACATTTTACTGTATTATGCTATGTTATGTTATGTTATGTTATGTTATGTTATGTTATGTTATGTTATGTTATGTTATGTTATGTTATGTTAAGTTAAGTTATGTTATGTTATGTTATGTTATGTTATGTTATGTTATGTTATGTTATGTTATGTTAGTACTGTGTAGTTTATACTACGTAAAATATATAATATGACCAATAATAAATAGTAAATAGTATATAAGATATACAACTGTACACATACATGTACTGCCCATGTGTGTGCGTGTATATATCTATATATGGAGAGGGAGAGAGAGCCCAAAAACGTAGCCCTACTATAAACTGTTACGGTATGGCGGCAGTATCGAAAGCGTATGAAACACTTGGATGTGAAGGGTTCAAATAGCTATAGTCCGCCGCAGCCACAAAACCTGTAAATTGGCATGCTCTGACCCCATACCCGTAGGCCCTATAGCAGTTCCTGTTCGGGATTCCCTTATAGGGTTCTAAGTATGAACCATGGGGCCTATGGGTAGTTTGTGCTTCAAGTCGTAGGTAGAGACGACCCGCACTGGCAGGGCAACGATAGCTTCAAAGCAGCTGGACAACTACAAGTGGCTGTACTAGTCAAGAAGCACCCCTACCGCAACAGGGCCTGCCAAAAAAACTGACTGCGTAGGACAGCTGATAGTTTGGAGCCTTATAACCCTAAACCCTAAACCTGTTGGAGCCACAGGTAAAGTCTGTAACATAGGGGCCTTAATCATCGGAATAGGGTTTTGGGGCCCATCATACTATGATCATATAACGGAACCACTCCCCAACAAAACATATAGGTAATTATTAAGGCCCCTACATTATGTAGAATGCCCATGTTTTAGATCCTGGGTTCTTCTGTGCCTAAACCCTAAACCCTAAACCCTAAACCCTAAACCCTAAACCCTAAACCCTTTTTTTTGGTTTGGAGTCCCTTGGGCTGCGGGTGTAGGGCAGGGCTTTAGGGCTTCGCGGCTCAGGGCTTTAGGGTTTTAGGGTTTAGGGTTTAGGGTTTAGGGTTTAGGGTTTAGGGTTTAGGGTTTAGTTTAGTTTTAGACACCTTTTTCGGGTTCGGGTTTTAGGGTTCAGGGTTTCAGGATTCCGGGTTTAGTGTTTAGGGCTTCAGGATTTAGGGTTTAGTTTAGGGTTTAGGGTTTAGGATTTAGGGTTTAGTTTAGGGTTTAGGGTTTAGGGTGGGTTTAGGGCTGCGAGGTTTGAGTCCTGTGGCTGCTGCTTCGTTCTAATTGACTTCTCGCCGTCATGCTTAAGTCTGCATGGGTGGTAGACTTTCGGGAACTACGGAAGAATGTCCAGGCCAGTTAACACTGAAACCACAAACCTGAAACCTTCAACACCAATCCTTAGACCCTAAACCCTATAAGTCCTCTATAAGATTTGGTTCAACCCTAAACCGAAAACCTCGGGCAGATAACGGCATCGAACCTAAAACATCCCAAACCAGCGAAACCGTAACTCCTACAAGCCCCGGGCCCCAAGCCCCTAAACCCTAAACCCCCAAACCCTAAAAGCCCTGAGCCCCGACAGGTTTTCGGAACAAGCTGCATGGAGGTGCGGCCCTTGCTGGCCCGCTGGCCCGCCACACCGGCGGCGGCGAGGCCGGCCACGGCGCCGAGGCCGGCCATGGCACCCATGGAGCCCTGTGCAGGGGCTAAGGGCGCTTTCTGTTTAAGGTCCAGGGGCCTTAACAATTAGAATAGGGTTTTGGGCCCCTTTATAGTAGAACTATAACAAGGAGCCCCCCAAATAGTATAGGTAATCATTAAGACCCCTATATTAGGGTTTGGGGGTATAGGGCTTAGGGTCTGCACCTCTACCTCGGGGTATCGCAAGCCCGGCAAAACTCGTAGATCCTAGACCCCTCAAACATCCATCCTGGAGCCTCTCGTCCTGAACACCAACCGTTACTAAACCCTAAACCCTAAACCCTAAACCCTAAACCCCTAAACCCTAAACCCTAAACCCTAAACCCTAAACCCCTAACCCTAAACCCTAAACCCTAAACGCCAACCCTTCACACTTACGTAAGTTCTCATTTCAGAATCCTTTTGCCTAAACGGCCGATAGAACGGAACCAACTTCTTCAAGTTTTCGTCTACATGTTTGGTTTAGGCTTACAGCATCATCTAAACAGCTGACCTTTAAGACTTCATAGCCTCGACTGCCAACCCCCTCAACGTCCTCAACCCGAAATTCCCAAATAGTCTCCCAGGGCTTAGGTAGATATGCGAGTATACCGGCGTAACGTACACTGGGAGTATCACACAAAAAGTTAGGAAACCTCATGAAACCATATGGGTAGTTCTCTAAATTATAGGGTCCCTTTGAACTAGTATATGACACAACCCCAAAAGGGAGCCTAGTTTAGAGAACTACCCATGTAAACACACTCCGGCCTGCGACGAGGCGTTGTAGCCGGAGGCGCGGAGGTTGGTCTTTGGGGCCTGGTGCTGCACCTGTGAGACAACCCACAGGGTCCAAGTACTATTTGACAAAGAGTAGCTCTCGGCCCGAAATACTAGAACTTTGGCACCCCAAAACTTTAGGGTTTAGGGGCCCCAAATACCGTACGACTTGGGTGGATAGGACCCTCTGGATAACACGGGATCGGGCTCCAAACCCATGCGTGTGGGTTGAACTGGGGTCTCGAAGAGGGATGTCATATGGTTTATAAAGGTTCCAGGGTTTTGCACCGGCCTTCACAAGGATGTGACAAGCGCTTTCTCAAGGCCTCCAGGACCCCATACAAGCTTTCTAAGAATCTGCAAGGCCGGTGTATGTGTTTACAAGGGTTCTACAAGGGCCTCTCTGCCCTAAACCCTAAACCTGTTTGATCCGATAATCCCTGAATCGTAGACTAGCCGATCTTTGGGCATGTTCTGATTCATGCTTGGGCTTTCGTGTTCCTTAAGGGGGTCCTATAATGAAAAGGAGAAGGGTTCAGGGTTTATGGTCTAGGGTTCAGGGTTGGGGGATGTCCCCATAACACCCTCATCAACGCTTTACACAACGGTTCGTATAAGCAGGGGTTCAGGGATGTCCTGATAAAAAAACCCTCATAAAAGCTTTACACCACACTGCAAAATCAAACTGCCTGCACAACCGTACTTACACAGAACAACACATCAAAGCTTTCTCAAAAACCACTCCTTTAAACAACAGCCGAAACTACAAACGCCTAGCCTAGATCCGTTACATGAACCCTTTTATTTCCACCCAACCCTACAACCCTGAGGCCCTAACCACAAAGAAAACCATGTAGGGGCCTTAACAACTAGATAATCATTAGAACCGGGTTTTCGGGTATATGATAGTATATTTACAGTAATAGAACCCCCCCCAATATAGTATAGGTAGTTATTAAGGCCCCTATAGTATACCGACTTCTTCTGAGAACCCTCGCAGATCTTGGCAAAGAGCCCTTCAAGGAGGCCGAATACCCTTCGCCCTAAACCCTAAACCCTAAACCCTAAACCCTAAACCCTAAACCCTAAACCCTAAACCCTAAACCCTAAACCCTAAACCCTAAACCCTAAACCGTCACAAATCTTCCTCAAACCCTGGGCTTTCCGAGATCCTTGTAGAACCGCTTATAGATCCCTTAAGGAGGCTCCCTTAAAGTTGCCCAAAAAACATGAAACGATGATAACGATGGTATTGGTAGTAGATGAGAATCGCGACCACTATGACAACGTCTTTATAGTATTTCCCTTCAAACCTAAAACCCCTCAACCCTGCAGCCTAAACCCCAAAACCCCATACCCTAAACCCCTAAAGCCCCAAAACCCTAAACACTTAGACCCCTGAAACCTTAAACCTTAAACCTCAAACCCCAAATCCCCAAACCGCTAGACCTATAAATCCTATAAACCCTAAACCCTCAACCCTAAACCCTAAACCCCAAATCCCTATAAACCCTAAACCCTAAATACCCTAAGCCCACCTGGCTCGTCGGGGCCACGAAGGCGAAAGCGGAGCTGGCTGCCAGGGCGCCGGCGCCTCGGCCGAAGCGGACGTTCTTACCACTTAAGGCCCATTTGAATCCTTATTCGGGCTATAGGGTTTAGGGTTTTAGGGGTTTGGGGTTTAGGGTTTAGGGCTTAGGCTTTAGGGCTTTAGGGGCTTAGGGGTTTGAGGTTTAGGGGTTTAGGGTCAAGGGGTTTAAGGGTCTGACGTTCTTGACACTTTGGGATCCCCTTTGAATCCTCTTAAGTAGGGCTCATAGAGGGCTTAGGGGGGCTTATAGGGTTTAGGGCTTTAGGGGTTTTAGGGTTTAGGGTTTAAGTAAGGGCTTCTAGGGTTTAGGGGTTTAGGGCTTGGGGTTTAGGGGTTTAGGGTTTAGGGTTTTGGGTTTAGGGTGTTTCAATCCTTGTCACGGCTTCGGGTGATAAGGATTTTAAAAGCACTCTGGGCCCTTGAATCATTGTAGGGGCTTTGGGTTTTTAAGGATTTTAAGGACTTTAACCCTTATTATAGGGTTCTGTACGGCTTGATATAAGACTTCTGAAAATCCGAAAAGTCGCAGGCCTTAGTAGGGATTTCTGTGTCAACAACGCTTGGGAGCTCAGTGCTTGGGACCTCAAACGCTACTTCTTGGGTGCTTGGACTCTCTAGGAGCTGCGTAGCGCGTTTAGGGTTTAGGGTTTAGGGTTTAGGGTTTAGGGTTTAGGGTTTAGGGTTTAGGGGTTTAGGGTTTAGGGTTCAGGGTTTACATAGGGGTTCAGGGTTGAGGGTTTAGGGGCTTGTCCGTGACGACCAAGGCACCAACCATGGCGACGTTTGCTGCTGCAGACGGCATTGCAAAGAGGCGAAGAAAGGCGCAGGAGCAAGCGGAACGCTGGTTCTCTAAATGAGCTGCGATGTGGCAGAGACGCTTCGGATGTTCTCAACTCTATATTATTGCAAGTGTATCAATATGAGTATGTCTATATATATACACATACACATGTACTATTTACTATACAGAAATATTTCTGAATACTATCTTGCTAAGGGGTCTTACTTATCATTAAAAGAATAGAGCCGGGATAGTCGATGTATACTAAAGTTCTAGTAGGGAATCCTAACGGATACTGTTCCAAAAGTATTCAGGCTCCTCCATTCTGGGACCATCTTTTCGTGTGTTTGCGCAGACTCTGACATCCGACCTGGACGCCTTGGAGTCGTGCACGCATAAGGAAAACATACCAACAGTACTTCGGTAGGGTTTCAAGTTTCATGTGTATGCTTCGGGGACCTTGCCTATCAAGAATGTACAGGGTGCCCGGTGTTTGGAGAAAGTGCTGCCAGTGGACTGGAGCCTGCCTTCACAAGACTTCTAGCAACACGAAGACAGCGATGCAGATAGGCAGAGTACTTCGAGATAGTTTTGACACACGTTCAAGGCTTCATAAAACGGTTTGCTTCAGAGACAAAGAGAAAGATAGACAGAGAGAGGGAGAGAGCGCTAGAGCTGTTTAAAACGCATTCAGGATTTATGTATGAATCGGTGAGAACACTTGTTTTCACCACATAGTACATCCGAGAAGACATGAACCACAGAAGACCTTAGGAAACCTGCAGGCAGCCTCGTAGGCAACACCCTGACAAACCCTTTCAAAACCGTGGCTTAGGGTGTATAGGGTTTAGGACCCACCCCTCTCCAAGACAAAAGCGAAAACAACGAAATGAAAAACACACCAGACACCACAAAAAAAAAAATGAACCCTAAATCCATCTAAACCCCAAAAGCATGTATAACCCCTCATAGAACCTCATAGTCTTCTCGACTATGCGTCCTTTCCCGGAATCCTAGACCCCAAACCCTACAGACTTCACGCCCCAAGCACTAAACCCTGAAGAACCCTTAAAGAAGCCTTGAAAGCGCCCTGAATCCCCACGTTAAACTACCAAACCCTACTTTATTGTAGTATCTTCTGGTTCCCTGTTGGGGCTATATTAAACATGATTATTGTTTATCCTTATTGGGTTTTATTGTAACAAGAATGTAAAAGTGTAGCCAACAAGGACCCAGTCTGATTACAGATCCTAACATCGAAGTTAATTACAGAGACCCTACCTAAAAAGTAGCTTGCGGCTCCTGCGGACCTAATCCCTAAAACCCTAAAACCCTAAACCCTAAGCCCGAAACCCTAAACCTCCAACTAAACCCTAAACCCCTAAACCCCTAGTTCCAAAGTTCCAGGTAAGATAGGAGCCTTCCTCATTAGTTCTACTAAGGAACCACCAAAATAGTATAGGTAATTACTTAGGCCCCTATATATTAACCACCAACAATCCAGAATCCGAAAACCCTGAACTGGGTTGCGCAACCCTAAACCCTAAACCCTAAACCGAAGGGTCGCTTCCCTTAGGACCCAATCTTCCCCCCTGCCTCCGCTCCAGGGGCCCGGCTTCGCAGCCGGCAAATAGCGGAAAACACCGCGGGAGTGAAGTTGAGTTTGGTCTAAGGCTCTAGGGGGCTGTTACTTTGGTTTGGGGTCTAGGGTTTAGGGTTTAGGGTTTAGGATTTAGGATTTAGGGTTTAGGGTTAGACTATGACTTTGTTAACTGGGTTCCATCTGGGTCCCTGTTCTTTGTTGATAAGGGATTCTTGAAGCCGCGCAGCTCCCCAAGTCGAGACTTCTTCAATACTAATGCTCGTGACGATAACAATAATAATCGTAAGAATCACAACTAACACGAGTGATCATGATGGTAATAATTAATAATGATAGTAAGAATACTAGTAATAGTGATGTTAGTTATAGCAATGATAGTGACTCTAGTCAACCCCCCAAGGCATGCTGGCGGAGAGGCTTCGGAAGTGGGCCGAACGCTGCAGAAAAGAATCCGGGGGCTCCAATACCCCTTCGCTCCCCTGAACCCCTAAACCCCTAAACCCCTAAACCCCTCTCCCTAACCCCTAAACAAAACTCCTAAAACCCCTACACCGATGCCAGGCTTTTGAGGTCGGGCCATTCATCAAGTACGATTTAAGGTGTAGGATTTAGGGTTTAGGGTTTGTAACGGCTCTATATAGGTTCTTAACGGATATATGCACATATAATTTTGTTTATATTCATGCATGTATTTATAGGTGCTACAGTTTTTGGCTTGGGGGGTGGAACGGGGGGCTTACGCACACAAGTATATCCTGCACCCTTAAACCCAAACCCTGAACCCTAAACACCTGTAGACCCTAAGCCCCTAGCCTATAGACCCTAAACCCTAAACCCCAGACCCCTAAACCCCTAAACCCCTAAACCATAAACCCCAAACCCAAAGCCCTCAACCCAAAAAGCAGAGCGGCAGGGCAATGGGGCCTCTATGGGTAGATGTCAATCGAGGGCCTTCAGCCAAGACCATTAAAGTACAGGTAAATATATGGGTAGCTCTCTAAATTAGGGTCCTTCTTGTAAAGGTGCTGTACTATACTGGGGACCTAAAGAGGGACCACAATTAGCAAAAGTTCAGATAAGGATACATATTATATATATATACACACATACACACGCCTGAATACTGCGAGCCCCTGTGCTTAAACCGGAGATTTCAACCCTAAGCCCTTCACCCCGGAACTCTTCCAAAGCCATGTGGAAGTCAACACACAAGTAGAAGCACATCTGATCTTGTAAACGCGGCCACAGCCCACAACCCAAAACCCCAAGCCCCACTGTACACCCTTCCACGTTAAACCAGGAAGCAACCCTGAACCCTAAAACCTAAACCCCAAATCCCAGAACCCGAATCCCTAAACCCTAAACCCATCTAAACCCTAAACTTTGGCCCTAAACCCCCGAAGCCCCTAGACCCCAAACCCTAAACCCCCAAAACCCTTTAATTCTGCAGCAACCACCTTTCAAACCCGTGCCCCGAAACCCCTAGACCCCAAACCCTAAACGCCCAAAACCCTTTAATTCTGAAGCAACCACCTTTCTAAATCCTAAACCCTAAACCCACCTTTCGAACCCGTGGGGAACTCCCAGGCTTCTGGCGGCATCGAACTTCTCCGAAATGTCGGACTGCGCCTCGCTGTGGACAGGGTTTAGGCTTTAGGGTTTAGGGTTTAGGGGTTTAGGGGTTTAGGGTTTAGGGTTTAGGGGTTTAGGGGTTTAGGGTTTAGGGTTTAGGGGTTTAGGGTTGAACTTGGTTCAAGTAGTAGAAGCGCCTTAATGTTTAGAATAGGGTGGTTCGCTGCCAAGCCTACAGTTGGATCGGTGCCCACATCAGCTCCGACACCTTCATACAGGCTCACGTAAACGCCGGGGCCAGTTCGGCCGGTCCGCCCCCGCCTTTGCTCGCTGATAAAGGGGCGTGTCCACGCCAGCCGGGGCTTCCCTCGATCAATCTCTTTGCCAACATCGATAACCAGTGAAACGCCGGGTATCGTTTACGCCAGCATCTGCAATTGTGGTGCCTGAGATGTGCCCAGGGTTTAAACTCTTCCGGCAGGTCTCTGCCTTTCAGCATTTACGTCCCAACCTGCGGACCATGCATGAACAAACACTCCAAATCCCCAAGACCCCTATACCCCGAAAGCCCTCAGGAACCCACACGCCCTCGTGCCGAGCTGTTCTCTCTTGAAACCTTTGGAATCCCTGGTTTTCAAGAACCTTTCAATGCTGATTCTCTTCAGGGTTCAAGGAGCTTAAGATTCAGGGCCTAGGGTAGTATAGGGGCCTTATAATAATTAGAATAGGGTCTGGGGGTATAGTATACTATACTTATATTCAGGAAACCCCATAATAGTATTGGTTGGTATTTAGGCCCCTATAGTATGAGGTTTAGGGTTTAGGCTGCCGTCCCTTCGCTTTCAGAGCTGTCTACATGGTTGGGAACAAACGAAGCAGGTATGACTCGTGGACTTATTGAGAGGTCTTACAACCGAGCTTACTAATTCCCGTGATCGTCTGAATAAGGAACCCTAAACCCTAAACCCTAAACCCCAAACCCTAAACCCTAAACCGTGGTAGGGTTTAAGGATTGGATCCGAAGCTGCCATGCTTTGGGGGCCTTGGTGTCTGCAAAACCCTCCGGCCCAAAGCCCAAACCCCTAAACCGCAACCCGGAAACCCTAAACTCCAACCATAAATCCCGAAGGATCTCTAAACCCTAAACCCTGAAGCTAAACCCTTAAACCCTAGACCCTAAACCCTGAACCCCTATACGAACTCCTCTAATCTGAAGCCCAACCCCCGACCGCTTCACCGCTAGGGTTTGGGGTTTCGGGTGTAGGGCCTAAGACTTTCGACCCAACCTCGATGACCCCACCAACACCGGTTTAGGGTTTAGGGCTTTCGGGTTTTAGGGTTTAGGGTTGGGTTTAGGGTTTTTGGGATTTAGGGTTTTGGGGTTTAGGATTACACCCGTCGCGCTACCTTCTGCACTCGCTGCTCCACCGCCTTGGCCAGGGCGAAGTTGTCAGGCGTTGCTTGCGGATGTAGGGTTTAGGGCTTGGGGGTGCAGTGTTTAGGGTTTAGGGTTTAGGGTTTAGGGTTTAGGGTTTAGGGTTTAGGGTTTAGGGTTTAGGGTTTTAGGGTTTAGGGCTTGGGGGTGCAGTGTTTGGGGTTGAGGGTCTAAGGTTTGGGGCCTCAGAGGTTCAGACGTTTAGAGTTTTTAGGGGTTAGGGATTAGGGGTTTGGGGTTTACGGTTTAGGGATTTGGGGTTTCGGGATTTAGGGTATGAAGAGCATTATATAGTGACTCGTGCTGTGCACCTGGGACATTGGAAAACTACCACCGCTGGTCAGTCAGAAGCATCGAAGAGGCCTTGAAAGCCCCTAAACCCTAAACCCTATACCCCAAAACCCCGAACCC